ATAAAAGAGGATTGTCGACATACTTGTTCACAAGCAGCAGAGCGCCAACGTACTGGCATAGCAACATTAAGGATTAAAAAGCAGTGATCTTTTTGAAGACTATCACAGCGGAAATTGGAGTCATATAAAAAAGAAACTCTTTGTTTAGAGACGCGTGAACATATCAAAAAAGAAGCTCTTTGTTCAGAGACGAGTGAACATCGAAACAACAAGGTGGCGTTCCCTGGATTATGGAGAGTTGTCACAAACAACTGAGGATTGTTTCAAGAGAAATAATCTTCGATAACATTCCCTTGGATGTGGAATATTATCAAAGCGGAGGAGGATAGTTTCAGGCGAAGCAATCTTCTAATTTGGAAGCAGTTACAGGCGTAGCAATTTTCAAGCGGGATGGCATTCTCTAGCTTGCAGGAGGTCATCAAAACAAGGATACATCAGCAATTGGTTACTTTCAAAGACGTGTGCTCGACGGTGCAAGATACGCGTTTCTTAACTCTTTTATCTGTTTAACTAACGTTAGTTTGCAGGTATCGGCGTTACAAGATTGGTTTAGGATTGTAGAACGTTCTGAATCATTCTCCGTCCCTATCGATACTTTGAATTTTGTTTTCGAAACTTGCGTTTCTCCAAACTCAGTCAAAGTGGGGGCTTCTGTAGACACCCATTTGTGTCTCCCCAAAACAAAACCCAGTGATGAGTACCTTTCATGTCGAATCATAATTGAATGAAGTGAAAGTGTGGAAAGTTTAGTGTTGCGGATAGTTTGAATTCTTTTCTCTTCTCTTTGTTTTTGAAAACTTATTTTAAGAAAATAGTCAATCCAGTTTGGTTGGTCCATGATAAGGATCCAATAATGGTGTAGTTGGATGAGGTTTGAAAATACCTTTCCAACGATATATTATAAGCCCAATTCCGATAAATATCGAGGAAGTTATGGCCAAAATACTAAACTGGGTCCGATTTGATTTTTATATGCGACCCAATGATCTAGAGGAGGGTCTATTATTAATTATCATTCCTAAAGCTATTAGGATTGATTATAGTCTTTTAGAATACTCTAGGAGGTTTTTTTAAATCCTAATGGAGTTAGGATTGATAATTATGTTTTAAAGAGTTTGAAATTGAATAAAACTACTCCTTTTAAGAATCCTTGTTTTGTACGAAGTGGAATATATCCAGATTTTATTTTCGCGCCTCATAATATTTATCCAAATTTTATATGGTTGGATAGATCTTGAAATTATCTTTCCAATGATATATTATAATATTAAATCCGAGTTATAATGAAAAAGATATAAATGAGACATGAAACTTTATCCAAAAATGACACCCTTCCACTATTTTGGCCATATATTTTAATCTACAAAATGTTTTAATCTGATTATAATTGTTTTAGAAAGTAGACTTTAAGAGCTTTTCAACGACATATTATATGCCTTATTTGGACTTCCGGATCAAAAGATATGATAAAAACAAAAACGCATGAATTTCTGAAATCAGTGCCTGGAATCAGGCCTGGCGCCAGTTATTGGCGCCTGACGCCAATTAGCTAGTGCTGGCGCTAGCTTTGTTTTGCGTGCGCTAATCTCGTTTTGCGTGTGCCAAGTGCTCTGTTTTGATATTTTATCTTTTTGGCTGATTTCTCTATAAATAACGTATTAAAAACTCCGTTTTCATTCACCAATTCTCACGAATTCTCACCTACAATCAGTTTTCATTTGCAATCATTAATTCTCTCTTAATCATTCATCAATTCTCATCAAGTTTTCTTGATTATTTCAATCATCCTTCTCTCTCTCTCTTTTTCTAAACTAGCCTTTTCTCAAATACAAAATTCCGCATTCGCAAGACTTAGATACACCTAGCCATATTCGAAGTTGTCTTCGCCTAGACGTGAAAGTTTTAATTTGTGAGGGTTTGGTCCCAAATCTCTATTTCAATTATTTAATTTAATTATTTTGATTATTATTTTCCTTGAAATTACTAACGTGTGTATTTTGTTATTAGAAAGAGGTACGAGGCATCAAAGTAAGTACTTTAATTGATTAATTGATATTATGATGTAGAAATCATGTTTACATTGTTTATGATATTCCTAGTATCATGTCTAGGGTAATTTTAATATTAAATATGATTGTTACGATGCTTCCAATATTCTTCCTAATATTTATTCATATTAGTATCATGTTAGGGTTAAAGATTTGATTTTTATTGCTTAGTGACATGCTAGGGTTTGTTATTAATCTTGTTAGTATCATGCCTAGGATCTTGCTTTTATTATTATGCTTTAACATGAATATTATTATTATTATTATTATTTTAATTATGATTATAATTATAATTTTATTGTCATGATTATTATTATTTTATGATTATGTTGCTTGATATTATATATTGCTATTGCTTGATCACACCTTTTATTGCATGTTTAAAAGGAATTTGGTACTTGTAATCACGCTTAATAAGATATTTAATAATCTTGTTTAGGGTTAATTTGATTATAATTCAAGTGATCGCCAATAATAGTTTATTTGTGCATTAATATTCAACCAACATAGATAAACAAGTTTAGGGTTAATCTTATTGATTGCATGTTAATTGAAAAGCGCACATGAATATGATCAGAATAAAGTAGAGACCTATTATTAGGGCAGGTTCAATCTCTTTTAGGTTGGATTTTTACCTTCATCCCCGAACCCTTATTTGGTTCTAGACCTTATGGAGTTGACAATCTCTTGGATCGTTAAGGAGTGTAGCCTTCACCTCGTGAACGGTTTACAAGTTCCTAAAAAAAACTTGTTGGCGACACTTTTGCTTTATCTTCTTTCCCTTTGGACGCCACCGTACTTTAGTGTATGATCACAGTGGGGTTCAAGTTTGGGATTAACGCTTGAAATTATTCCCTACAGTTTTTGGCGACTCCACTGGGGAGGATTTCTATTTTAATTCCTGAATTTGTTTCGGCAATGATTTAGAATGAGTGGATGAGACTCGAAACGTTCTAAGTATTTCATGTGCGTAATTTTGATTAACATTATTTTCATATGCATAAAAAAGATCTCATTGGAAAGACCACTCGTAATGAGTTAAAAACATAGGATTTTACACGTAGGAAATTTGAGAAATATCTTTCACAACTAGGACCGAAATAACACCGCGCGAAACTGAAAAATTTTATCGAACACAGAAAGCTGCTGAGGCATGTGGGAAGTAGTGCCAGTCTCTGATTGCTGGCGCCAATTTCCCCCAATACCGAGCCAGAAATATGCATTCTAATTTCGACCAGTTTTTTGTTTTGTTTGCTTGATCCTACTTCCTGATTGAATTTTTTCATGTTATTTATGCAATGTCAATGATTGATTATTATGTTTTACCCTGGAGTATTATTTATTGGTGAACTTATGCCCTAGATCCTTTTATATATTGTTTTCTCCCTATTCTCAATCTTCGTAGTTTAGTTTATTATTCAAATATAAATATTGGTTACTTCATAATCTAGATTATATTAGTTAATTAGGAATTAAAAAGATGTGTTTCCCTGTGGAGTTCGACCATACTTCCCTATCTACTTTAGTTAGAGGACCTAGGTAATTACTTTTGATTAGGGGATACGACTTTACCCTGTCACTTGACCTTCCATAAATCTTCTCATTATACAAATTGAAGTCAACCACTAACCTGCTATGTCGCTGAAGAAAAATGTTCTCGGGCTCCTCATTACTTTCAAAGGCCCACTTGTTACGTCTACTCCATAAGTACCAAACTAGAAACAGTGCTTTCTAGTAAGTAGCTTCATCCAATTTCTCCTGCCATAACAAAAACAATATCACCAAATATCAAGACATCCCCGATAATAAGGGCATCATAATAGTCCGTTCTTTTCCAGATTTGAGAATTGAATGAAACAAGATGAGAGCATGAGTAGTTGTCTCACTACTGAAGTCGCATCAAGGGCATCTTAAGTCTTCAATTAAGTGCCTATAGTGGAGTAGGCTGTGAGTTGGGAGGGTATTCGTGCAGTAGCGCCAAGGAAAGTGCTACACTTTTGGAGTAACTTCGGCTTTTCAGATCTCAACCCAATATTTTTCAAAGTTTTCCAGCCAACAAGACTTGCCCAACAGATAAGCCGAGTTCACTTCATAATCACCATCCCTTGACCAAGCCTAGGAAGGAGCATCATCAGGTAACCTGTCGCTTAAAGGAGTAGCATAAATCAGCTTCTTATCACGTTCATTAAAAAGTCTTTTAACTTTCTCAAAATCCCAACTTCTTTCATCTGCTCTGATTGAATCAGCTACCAAATTACATTCCTGAATATGCATCTCACTCGTGACAAAACAACCATCATCATCAATGAGCCAAGGGTCCTCCCAAACTCTAATTTTCTAATTATTGCCAACCCTCTAGAAAAGCCCCTTCAGAACGAGAGACTTAGAACCCCAAATACTTCGCCATGAAAAACTAGAGCAAGGCTGCATTAAAAACCGAAGTGTAAGGATAATATTTGGCCTTGAAAACCCGACTGAAGAGAGTATTCTCATTGCTAGCGAGTCTCCATATCTGCTTGCCCAAAAGTGCATCATTAAGACCCCCACGTCACGAAAGCCTAACCCTCCGAGCCATTTGGGTTGACATAAAAATTCCCAGCTCTTCCAGTGTATTTTATGCTCTTTATAATTCGATCCCCACCAAAATCGGGCCATCATTGAATGAATTTCCGAATTAAGGGATAAAGGGAATTTATAGACACCCATGAGGTACGTTGGAATCGCTTGGATGACCGATTTCAAAATCACCTCTTTTCCGGCTCTGGAAAGCAGTCTTTCCTTCCAACCTTGTATCTTCTTTCGTATACGATCCTTGACAAAAGAAAACACAACTTTAAAATTAAAGTTAAAGTTTAGTTAAATCAAACAAGTAATTCAGATAAAAAAAAAAATATTCAAACAAGACTATAATAGACTTTAAAAAAAGGAAAAATTGATAAAAATAATCCCAACTTTCTCCGGTTCGCTCAAAATAATCCCAAATTTTTATTATTTTTAAATAATCCGAACTTTAGGGGTCATTCGCTCAAAATGGACCTAATCGGTCACCAACCTGTTATAACAGGTTTACGGTGACACTGACATGTGTCACCACATGAATGGTTGAAAAAAAAATAAAAAACACTTTAAAAAAAACTTAAATAATATAACAAAAACCCAGCCCCACACCCAACCACCATCCCCACCACCAGCCTTGACCTTCCCGGAACCCCCACCTCCGTCGCCGCCGAAAAACCTCCCGCGTCGGAGCCCAGATCCTTCCTCCAACGTGTTGGCGCCGGCGTTGCCCTTCTGTACCCCTTAAATCGCCTAAATCCGACCCCAAAACCACCCTTATCACAACTCGAATTCTTAAAAACGCCCAATCCCATCGTAAAATCCTCCAAACGGCCATCCCCTACCCTCGAAACCCTAACAATTAGGCATTTGAGGGTCGGAGAGGGCCAATTAGGGGGTTTGTGCGGTGGGGGTTGCGGTTATTTTAGGTGTTTCGGGTTTGAGAGAGGAGGCTTTCGGGTTGGGGTCTTGGTGGTTGGGTTGGGGGAGCGGCAGCGCCAGAGTCGGCGCGGGGGAGGGGGGTTCTGGTCGAGGCAGCGATTAGGGGAGGGGGGATCGAAGTACTTGGGTGGTGGGAGGAGGTAGCCGTCGGAAAGTTACATTGGTGGTGGATGTGGTTGTTTTTGGGTTTTTTTTTTTGTTTTTTCGACTAATCTTGAGATGACATGTGTATCTTAAACAAAAAAAAACCTGTTAAACAGGTTACCTGTTACATGGGACTATTTTGAGCAAATAACCCCCGAAGTTCGGATTATTTAAAAATAATCCAAAGTTGGGATTATTTTGAGTAAACCAGCGAAAGTTAGGATTATTTTTATCAATTTTTCCTTAAAAAATTCAGACAATAACATTCTATTTCATGGGAAGAAACACAAAGCTTGTGAAATGTTGGAAAATTATTTGATCCTTGATGTAACATGGGCCAAATATCACAATGTTAAAAACCCTAGTGGCTTAATCCAATTCATACTTGGGCCAACGTCTATAAAATTCAAATTAATAATTAAAAAACCAAAAAAAAAAAAAAAAAAAAAAGACTCCCTCATCTCATTAAATCATCACCGTCCATTTTCTTTCAAATCCAATCGTTAAATTCCAACCATTAGATCCAAAAAAAATAAAAAACTCAAAACGCAAAAATCCAAATAAGCTTTACAATTAACGAGGAGCGCACCTCCAAATTTCAAATTTCTCCTTCATCCCGCTTCTCTCTCTCTCCTCTTTTTCTACACTTCAAACTTTTAGAGAGAGAAAATCTTACTTACAAATTCATTCAAAAATTTGCAGATCTTCATCTTTTTCTCTTTCTCTTCAACATTTGAAGAGAAATTTGAGCAACAAAAATGTCGAATAAGGAGAAAGGGGTTAATGTTCAAGTCATTCTTCGTTGCAGGTAATACTAATGCTTTTGATTTTACGAATTTTTGATGGATTTTTGAGTGTTATTTGTAATGGGATTTAGGGTTTTGGAAATTTGTGATTAGGGTTTTTCAATTAGTGTGGGATTGAAAATTGATGAGGATTTTTGGGTTTTATTTGGGAGTGATTTAATTACAGGCCGTTTAGCGATGAAGAGCTGCGGAATAATGCGCCGCAAGTTGTTACTTGTAATGATTATCAGAGGGAAGTTGCTGTTTCTCAGAATATTGCTGGCAAACATTTTGATAGGGTTTTCGCTTTTGACAAGGTAATTTAATTTCATTTATCAAGGGTTTTCAATTGATTTATTTCAAAATTGTTACAATTATTTTGAATGTTTGTTTAATTTAAACTAGGGGAAGTGATAGTTTCCACAAGAATGCCGCTTTGAATTTATAATAATTGTTGTTTCGAATTCGGAATCGAAACTGGTTAGCTTAGTTAGGGTTAGTGACACTGTGATAGTGGTGTACAATTGTGCTGATTTAGAAGTAATCTAAGGAAGTGATCCAATGATGTTGTTTAGTTTATCAAGACATGGTGTTTAATTGCTTAATCAAATGTCAAAATGAATCCGATTTGATAAAACAATAAATTCAATGTGTGAATTTTGGCTAATGTGGAATGTTTATTGATAATCCTGATATGCTTGGGAATGAGTAAAATTCATGAAAACCCTAGTAGGCTGCGTCGAATTTGATTGGTGGGGGTGTGTTTGCAGGTATTTGGTCCAACATCCCAGCAAAGAGAACTATATGATCAAGCAATTACCCCCATAGTGAATGAAGTTCTAGAGGGATTTAATTGTACCATTTTCGCGTATGGTCAAACTGGTACAGGTAAAACATATACAATGGAAGGTGACTGTAAAAAAAACAAGGTACATGAACTTCTACTGTTTGTTGATGAGGTCCTTGGCATTGAATCTTTGTTACTGAATGGTTGGTTGATTTACCTTGCTAAACGTGACAGAGTGGTCCGAATGGAGAGCTTCCCATTGGAGCAGGAGTCATACCTAGAGCTATCAAGCAGATATTTGATACATTGGAGAGTCAGAATGCTGAGTATAGTGTAAAGGTGACTTTTTTGGAGTTGTATAATGAAGAAATTACTGATTTATTAGCACCAGAAGAAATTTCGAAAGCTGCTTTGGAGGATAGGCAGAAGAAGCAGCTGCCTCTTATGGAGGATGGTAAAGGAGGAGTGCTGGTCAGGGGGTTGGAAGAGGAAATTGTCACCAGTGCTAGTGAGATCTTTACCCTACTTGAAAGGGGATCAGCCAAACGTCGCACTGCTGAAACTCTTCTTAATAAACAATCAAGGTCTTTGATCAAACTTTACTTTACCTGTTATGTGTTCATCATTTTCCAGCCCTTATCTATATACCCAACAACCAGTTAAAGAAAATTAAGACAGAAGGATGGGAAGAAGGACTCATTGTTTAATTGTTATTTTTCAGTCGATCACATTCTTTGTTTTCTATCACTATACACATTAAAGAAGCAACACCAGAAGGGGAAGAGCTCATCAAATGTGGAAAACTTAATTTGGTTGATTTAGCTGGATCAGAGAATATTTCTCGGTCTGGGGCTCGCGAGGTCTGATGCTTTATGTGATATCTTTCATTTACATTTTGCTGACATGCCACTGTAATGCTAGTCCTGGACATGTTTAAAATACGATCTTAATTTAAATTGACATCCAGTAATGACTTACTGTGCTGATCTTACTCTTTATTTAGGGTCGTGCAAGAGAAGCTGGAGAGATTAACAAAAGTCTACTCACACTAGGGCGAGTTATCAATGCTCTGGTAGAGCATCTTGGACATATTCCCTACAGGTCAGTGATTTGACTAGTTTATGTATAACTTTTAATTATCAGTCATTAAAACTAACCTTTCAATAATGGGAATGTATAGGGATAGCAAACTCACAAGATTATTGCGTGATTCGCTTGGTGGACGGACAAAGACATGCATCATAGCAACAGTATCACCAGCCGTCCATTGTCTTGAGGAGACCTTAAGCACTTTGGACTATGCACACAGAGCTAAGCATATCAAGAACAAGCCAGAGGTTGGTTCACTAATATTCCAGTCTATATGTAATAGATGATCCAAATATTTCAAGTACTTCAAACTGTATAGTGATTCTGTTTTATTTTTGTGGTGTATGTTCATTTTTTAATATTTAATTTTGTAGTTTGGTTATTACTTTTCGTTTAGTTACTACTCTGTGCTCTAGAAATTTACCTTAGATGATAGCATTAATGTGTAAATATTATACAGATCAATCAAAAAATGATGAAATCAACACTGATAAAAGATCTCTATGGTGAAATTGAGAGACTGAAGGGAGGTGAGAAACTTTTGTCTCTAAGTGATGTGAATTATTCATCCTTTTTGAAATGTTCAGCTGAACCTGTAACCTTCTTTTAGAGGTTTATGCTGCACGAGAAAAGAATGGAGTATATATTCCAAAAGATCGTTACTACCAAGAAGAAACTGAACGAAAGGTATTAACATCCTCCTCGTCCTTATGGCCTTGCCTTGTCTGACTGTGCTACAGTTAAGAACATAGAATTTCCTTGTTTTCAAGTATGTTTACATCATTGTGTAGTTTGTTTTTCGGCTTCACTATGCATACATAGTCTTCATATTCATACAAAATATCGCTAATTTTAAATATTTTATTTGTTTTTCTGCACATGTAGACAATGGCTGATCAGATTGAGCAGATGGGAGTCACAATTGAGAACCAGCAGAAGGTATGATACTTCTTTGAATTGAGAATTGGTACTTGTTTAACCTTTTTTTTTTTTGAAACCTGGTACTTGTTAAACTTATTGTAGTGTTAATTGTGATTTGCCATTGAAATAGCAAGTTGAGGATTTGCAAGGAAGATATGCTGCTCAAGTTCAAGAATGCTCTGACTTGAGTCGAAAGCTTGATTCAACACAGGTGATGCACGTTGCTACTGCCTATAGTATGCTGTTGTTTATGTGCCATGCGAAATTTTGACAGGCAATGTCATCTTTGCAGAAAGACTTGAGTCTCACTAGAAAATTGCTAACTGGCACTGAAGAGGAACTGAAGAAAAGTAAATACACGCTTAAAGAAAAAGATTTTATAATATCCGAGCAGAAAAAAGCAGGTTGAACAGTGTTTGAAATTTATTTAGATCTATTGTTGGCTGGTGTTGCTGGGTGTTCTGATCACCAAAAATTTTCTGTCATGATCTAAACAGAGAGAGCATTGACTCATCAAGCTTGTGAGTTGCGCTCAGACTTGGAGAAATCCCTTCAAGATAATGCCTCACTACATTCTAAAATTGGTATGAAGCTTATTTATGTTATTTGATTGTTCATATTTGATATCTACATGCACATCATATTTTGATATCTAAAATGATTTCTCTTTGAGGAACAGATAGAGAGGACCAGTTGAATGCTGATAACAAGTCAGTGGTGGAAAATTACCAAACTGAGCTTTTAAAGCGACTTGGTTCCCTTTGCAGTACAGTAGCTTCTTCAATGTCTCAACAAAATGAAAACCTACAAAGTATTGATAAGCTCTGCCATTCAATGATTGATAACCATAATGTGGTAGGTACTCAGATTCAGTTATGGTTGAACTTGTTTTTAAAGTCTAGATCCTGCATGTGTTGTCTAATGTTTGATGACCTATGGCTTTCTTAGTTCTTACATGATATGATCTCAACATTAACCTTTATATATATTATTTTTGCACGGATTTTGTCTGCAGGCTGTGACTGATTTGAAGAAAAAAGTGGTGGCTTCAAAGACTCTGTATATTTCCCATGTTGATGCCCTACAAAATGTTGTTCGATTGCACAAAGCAGGCACTGATGCTAATTTGGAGGAGATGGCTTCTCTAGCTTCTTCCAATACTAGGTCTATTGAAGAGGTATGTTAGGAAAACCAATGTTCAGATTTTTTTGGAATGCTTACCTATGTATTTGGTCCTTAATTTTTATGTGGTAACCCTGTTACTTTTAACTTGATTACTGGGTTCTAATCAAGCATCAACTAGCATTTGTTAAAAGATATTCACTTCATGATGATTACTCAATTTAAGCGCGTTTAACATGAACAATTGGCTTTTCAGCCTCTAATTTTTTTTTGGGGTATTAGTTTCTAGAGATTGAGGATGGCAAAGCAATGTCTGTATATGATGATCTTCAAGCAACTCTTGCAAGCCACCAAGGGGAAATGGCACTTTTTGCTCGGGAACTGCGTCAGGTTGGTGTTTTTAACTCATGAACTATGAGGAGCATTCTCTTATTTAGATAGTAATTACTTCTTTTGAGTACTTAAATCTGAATCTGTCACTGTTTAAATGGGCATTTGCACTTCTATGCATTTGTTTGGAGGGATCAGAAAGGAGTTTATTTTATATATTTTTTTGTGTGTGAAAATGCAGAGGTTTCATGATAGCATTGAGCACATGAAGGGGATTGCAGAGTTCATAAATATTTATTTGCAAAAGATGACTGAAGAATCAAGCAAGCTTGGTGTTCATGCATCTCAGATTGAAAAGATTCAGATAAATAGTATTTCTGAATTCCAGAAAGCATTTGAGGTCTGTTGCTTTTATTTTTGTGCGCGTAAGTAATACATTATGATTTTGTTGTTGTTTATGGTGTTTTGTGGGTCTATTTGTAGGAACAATCTAGATCTGATGCTGAAAAGCTTCTAGCTGAAGTGACTGATTTAGTAACCAGCCACATTCGTCGTCAGAAGGAGATGGTATGTGGGTCACTTTGTGGTTTCAACTCATGTCTTACTGTTTTGTTATTTTGATAAAATTCTAAGAAATGACCATGCAGGTTGATGCAAGACTCATTGATCTCCGAGAGACTGCTATTGCAAACAAAGTTTACTTGGATGAGCATGTTTCATCTTTGGAGGGATTCACAACTGATGCAAAAAGAAAATGGCAGACATTCTCGATGCAGGCTGAGAGTAATACGAATGATAATGCTGATTACTCTGCAGCTCAACATTGTAGCATGGAGTTGCTTTTACAGAAATGGTTGGTCTTCTGATCAACAATGGTCATGCATGTGTTCATTGTGGAATTGTTTCGTTTAGTAACTTCTCATTTGTATATTATTTTTATTGGTTTCATCTTGCACATAAATATTTGCTGACGTTTCTCTTATTCTTTTATAAAATTTAGTGTGAGCACGGCTGAGACGGCTTCCAAGCAGTTGAAGACAACTCATGAGTCTGTAAATGAGAAATGCAGTAATCAAGCTTCAACAATGATTTCTTTAGTGAGGTCAGTGTTTGGTTACAAATGCCGACAAGTTTTTTGGATAGTATAATTCATAAAAACCTCCAGATGCTGCTGCAGATTGCATGCTCTGGTAGTCATGATTCTGCATAGCAATTTTAATTAAGAGAATCACTATTGAGCCAACCAGTTTACTTTGTCTATGATACTATGTCATATATCATAATACCTATGTGCAGGAGCATGGTAGAAAGCCATGAGCAGCATGATTCAGAAGTTGATTCTGCAAGGGTTGCAGCTGGTCAAGATGCAGCTAAATGCAGTGAAGATATTGTGCACGATCTAGATAGTAAGTTTTCTGTTATGGTTATGATCTTACTGAGAGTCTTGTTAATATTGATTGATGACAGTAATTAATATCTACCGTGCTCAACGTTTTTATATTGTGAAGACGAATGAATCTTTTTAGACACTTATTTTTTAAGTTTGATACTGTAAATTGGATCTTTATGGTGGCTTACTCTCTTATTTCCTACCAGTTAATATATTTGGTGAAAATTTAATAATATTTAATGAATATTAAGGGAATAACAGACAAAACATGTAAGGGAAACAGTGACTAAATTTATTTTGATAATGGCCTGGGAAAACAATAGGATAATTACATATAAAACAGAATATATCAAAAGGTGATATGAATATACACATTAAAAGAGAATAAAGTATAATCTCTAGAATTTGGTGTGTGTAATATACTGCATTTAACAAACTTAGGTTTCTGCACCTTTTTGGAAGATGAACTATAGCCTTATTTGAAACTACAGTAGACAGTTGGAGAGGGATATATGATGTAGGAGGTAGTTGGACATTGTGGATTGAAGATGGAGAAAAAGTTTTTTGCTTTTGCTCTAAGAAATGAGAGAGTTAATGGTACTTTCTCTCCCAAATTTATAGGGACTGCAGCTTGCAATTATAAAAATATAGATTTGAGGAAAGTTGGTACGCCTAAATTCACTTCTCTAGGCTTTTGGAATGATTTTGGAGAAAATTGCTCCTCTTGATGTACTAGATAATGCTTTCTGTATGTTTCTAAATTTTGATGTACTAGATGGAAGTGAAATCAGTCACTTTGGGAATTCAGTTTTAGTCTTCTTCTATAATGAAGGTGCCATACAGTTGATAAATTGATGCTATAAGAATCAATGCTCAATTCCTATGGTTGGTTTGGTTGAAGTTAGCTTATGGGTGATCTGATAGAATGTTTGGAAGTAAAACTGTGACTTTCATCCTCACAGAAACACTTGAAATCATCTTTATTTTGGTTATACACATTTCTTTGTAAAAATCTGGTGGTTTTGTGTTTGCTTTGTACATTTGGATATTGGTAGTCTCTTTTTTTTCAGTCACCTTGTGTGCTTAAAAAAAACACTGGGATGATATCTTTGTTCAATTCTCAAATTATTTTTTCACAGGATTATCGGAGATGCAAAATGGAGAAATGTCGGGTATATGTTCATCTGTCAAAACTCAGGTAGAGAACCTTGAAGTTTTCAGGGAGGATCATGCTGGGCAGGTTGTACGTATTGAAAATGAGGCACAGACGACTTTCCAGCAGAGATATATGGTAAGGATATAGCTTATAGCCACGCTCTTAAAACTGTCAGGTTAAACCACCTGCTGCGGTGTTGAATCCGGATTAAGAATTGAATAACACCATATGAAATACCTAGGAAGAGTTGTTTATTAGTTGTATAACTGAAAGTTGTTGGTAAGAACAATTTTGAATATAATCATTGGGCATGATGATTTTGATATTAAATGCTCTCAGAATTTAGATTGCTGGCCAAGTGACTATTCTGATAATAAAAATTCATGTTTTCTCAGGATTATGAACCAACTGGGGCGACACCAGTAAGATGTGAGACAGATGTTCCAAGCAAGGGCACTATTGAGGCCTTGTGCACCATGCCAATGGATACTCTTTTAGAAGAATTTCGAGAAAATCACCCTTATGAGTCTGTGGAAGATAAAGAAGTAAAACCATCTCTCATACCACGTTCACCCTTAGTAGAACGGAACTGAAAATTTTGGCAATGATGGGGTGTGGTGCATTTTGCTAAATATATATGTAACTTCCATGTATGCTGTTATTGTTATTGCCAGAAGCATAGTGAAACACATTTCTGTTTTCTAATTTCTGTAGCTAAGGGGCTGAGCTGTGGCACTGATGCAATGCGTTGAATAAATTCCATCTTGGAATTTAACAACTTATATATAGTGTAGATCACAGGGTGAATTGTATTGCAATGAAGTTGTTCACTCAGATAGCCATATTGTTGAATATGAACGTGTTGTAAGATACAAACTACTTTGGTTTAAACAAATTTATTGGGAAAGCAATTAGTCTTATCATTATTGCAGAGCTGTTGACATGTCTGCTTTGTCCCATTAAGAAAAAAATGTTGCAACTACAGCAATGAAAAATTCCTTGTTTTGCAGAATGTTCAATATTTGCACTCCTTTATGACTGATTGGTTTGTGTTCTATCTGTTAATATTCGAATTCTGCAAACTCTTAATGAAGATTATGCTACTGGTTAATTAGGGCAGAAGGTACAAACTCGATGGTTTTGATTGAGTAAATGTAAGGGTATCATGGTACTGATGGCAGGGTTAGCTTAAAAACAAACCCGAAGTTTGGTCCAATTACGGGTGAAAATGCAACATCTATTCATCTACTCAATTGCTAGATAACCCTGATAAACTATTACGCGTTGGGAGAACAATATGTGTAAAATTAATCATATGCACAATCTACAGGAAGCTAATCACCTAATAAGTCTACATCAACACTAAGTTCTATTATTAAGCATATAAATTCCTGATAAAACCATTACTAATAAACTATATATCAAATTCTTCCAGATGACTTTCATCTTCTACTACTAAAGTTAATAGAGCAGGCAACTAATACGATGGATTTACCAAGTTTTTTCCATTACAAAATGCACCATAGGTTAGACAATAGAATGTTTATACTCCGTAAGATGGCCCTGCTTCTTCGCGGCTGGATTCCCTTGGCTAATTCATCAATATGCTTTAGAGAAATTAGTAATCATAGTAATATACGATTTTTTTGTAAATCAAAGTTATGTCGAACACAAATTTTAGTCCATATGACATTTTAAGATTCATTTATATGTACGTATACTAATATATGAACTTTTTCTTTTTCTTTTATGATTAAACTTGTGCATTGACAAATGTGTCAATCAAACTGTTACATTTAACCTAAAACAAAGGTATTCCATTTTAATTATTTTTATAATTACCGTGTTAAAATAAGTAGTGTTATTATAAATTTACGTTATACAATTTCATGCTCAGGGAACAATTCCAATTTAACAATCATATGATGATCTAACACAACCTTTGGTTAAATCACTACGCTAAGACTACGAAAAGGTCTATATGTGACAAGTAAGTTGGCTGAATTTCCATCTCTATGCATAGCTTACTCAATTGAAAGGAAATCTACCTTCTTTGAAGTGTTTAGCCACCCATTTGTTATTACGTACAACTGCTCACATCCTTGCAATTTATGTCAATGCTACTTTTCTATCTTTTTCGCGCATATTACTTAGTTTTAATAAGCTCGTGTCAAAAAAAAAAAAAAAAAAAAAACTCGAATGTGCCCATTTTAGTGTCAATATTTACTCATCTAAGCTAAGTAACATAGAAAAAGCTAGAGATCTGTAAATTAAATTTGCAATGTTGGATGGGAAAGATGTGTTGGATCCCAAACCATATGATTCTAGTTGCTCCTTTATGTGAAATCTGGCTAAATCAATTCTAATGAACTATTAAAATGTTTTTACCAAGTTTAGGTTATGGTTTTGACACTTACCTATGCTTCTTTTTCTTTAGCATCCATCATTTCTTGACGTGGAAGGCTCTATAGAAGGTCATTTCTTTACCTTTCCTCAATTAGATCTTATTTGGTAATTTTGGTTTAACTCGCTAAATTAGCTGGTTTAATTACCTGATTGTAATAGTTGTGTAAAAGTATTTGATAACTAGCTAGCTGTATTTTGACCGTTTTTGTGTAAAATGAAAATTTTTTTTTTTTATAGCTAGGGTGTTGGATATGATCCAATCATTCCTTTTTTTTTTTTGCACCAAATAAATTCCAGCTAGCAAGTAGTGATGAATATTTATGAAAAAAAATTTAAAAAGTGAAAAAATATAGAGTACTGGCCTGCTCTGATTTACTTAACTGAGCTGTGCTGAACTAAACTGAATTGAATAGAGCTCAATGAATTATTTATGAGAGAAGGAAATTAGAAACTGAACTGAGCTGAACTGATTGTAGCTGAACTGAAATTAATCTGAAGAGAACAGATCCTAATAGAGATATATACTACATATATTTTTTTTCTCAACAGACGAGGTTGTTTTATCACCAATTAATATTACACTGGATTAGGTTCTGTGCCATGCGCGGTAATTTTCACTATTTATTATTAGTTTAAAACTAAATTTAATTATTATAATAATTATCAAATTGCAAAATAAGATAAAAAAGTCGTAATTACAAAACAAAAAAAAATTATATCATACTAAAGAAAATAGTGAGAGTATTACATGCATATATGACTAATAAAATAATTATGGATTACGCTACAAAGTTATACTTCATATAAAGGAATGAAAATATTATTGCATAGTATATTAAATAAACAAATACAAGTAAGTTTTTGTTGAATGTGTATAAATAGAATACAATTACCTAATAGTAATGGAGAAGGTTTGGAATATATATATATATATATATATATATATATATATATATATATATATATATATATTATTTGCGCAATTTTTTTTAAAAGGAGATGACATATGTCATTCTTGGTATCACCTTTATTATAATAATATATTATTATAGTTACAGATTTATGTGTTAAATTCAATTTGATACAATATAACGTAATTTTTTTTTTCGGTACTATAAATTAAATCCATGTGATTGTAATATAATATAAAAATATCTCAAATAATATTAATATTAGTAATAAGAATCTTTAATTTCTATTATAATGTATGAACTAAATATATGCATTTTATAATTTTATTGTCTTAAATACGTTGTCAATAAAAAAGATATAAAATTAAGTTAACATTTTTTTTATTTGGAAGTGTTTTTTGGAGGGAAAAAACGACACCAGGAAGTGACATGTGTCATTTCCAGTGTCTGTGTTTAGTATTATGTTATTGATTGATTCTTTCTTCCTTCTTTTTAGTTAACATGTTTTAATTTTGACACTAATGAGAAATTTTACTTTGATTACATTTTGTCATTTATTATGATAAAATATAGTTAATACATACAAAATACTATATACATATATTTTTAATAATTTTTACTTATTAATAATTAGAGTTTATTGATCGTTAGCTTAGAGATATTAATCGTTGATGAATAATGTTTCTAATTTGCATAATGTTCCTATCAATAATCAATAATCATCAATAATATAATATAATATACTAAAAGACACACCAGCAATGACACGTGTCATTTTCTAGTGTGTCCTTAGTATTATTATTTTTTACAAAAATTAAATTTTTAAAAAATTAATAGAAAATATACGCAAAATATTTAATTTAAAATTTAGGAAAAAAAACTCGTAGAATAATATATTTATAAATTATAAACTTAAATATCTAACCATATCTTTTTTATAAATAAATTCTTATATTAGTAAGTACTTTTTAATCTATAATGATTATTTATAGTAAAAAAAAATCATGAATGTATATTTGTCAACTTAACATAGTTGGTGAATGAAAAATTTTCATATTTGAAATAAATAAAAATGGTATCAAGGTTCAAAATAGAAGAAAGCAATATAATATGTATTCAAAAAAGATAAAAAAAAAAAGTAGATTGATTTGAGATAAAAAAAAAACAGATTTTAAATTATCTCCGAAATAAAGATTGAAAAACCGTGCATGACACGGAATCTAATCTAGTATCATAGATAAAATCGACTACATTCGATTAGATTACAAATTATACTCGATTATGTATAAAAATAGGAAAATAAACTAAAAAAGGAGGATACAAATTCGAAAATTAAAAAGAGATATATCTCCAATGTCTGCGAACCAAGCTCCTCCAAACCCCCCTCAAATGGTTGATCAATTGATCAGATCTAATAAAAAACCAAAAAGAAAAATCACACAATACATTTTTGGTAAGGGCTCTGCTAATAGGGATAACTCCATGGAATGTGTCAATGGAGGAAATGGATCTGATGACTCCCCTGTGTCTGGGGGTCAGAACTTTCAAAATTTTCAAGCTAATCCTAAAGGCGCTGCTGCAACTCCGAGGTCCTTTCGGGACTTGTTAAGAGACACTCAAATAGCCAACCAGAGTGCTAATGAGGTTTGTGCTAATGAGGTTTGTATTGAGTTGGATGATGAGGAAGAAGTCTCGGATGATGATGAAGCACCAGAAGGTATAGTGGACTCTGAGCGATGCCCTGTAATTCTGCTAACAAAAGAGGAGAAGAAAGCAATGCGAAGGCCTTGGTGGAACACTCTTATAATAAGAATGTTCGATGGAAGCCTTGGATACATGGGTTTGATGAAAAAACTCAAGAGAAAATGGCAATTAAAAGGAGATATGAACCTCACTGACATTGGTTCTAAATATTTCATTGCAAGGTTTTCCAATGCAGATGATTACAATTATGTCTTGACCCAGGGTCCTTGGCTAATTGATGACAAATATCTCACAATTAGGAAATGGACGCCAAATTTCATCCCTGAGGAGGCATCTATCAGTGTTTTGACTGTTTGGGTTAGAATACCGAATCTGAGTGTTGAGTATTTTGACAAGGAATTTTTGAAAAAAATTGGTTCTAAGATTGGGAAGGTAGTCCGAGTGGATAAATCCACAGCTTCTGCTGAGAGAGGTCAATTCACTCGGCTGAGTGTAGAAATCGACCTTGCCAAACCTTTACTAGCAAAGTTCTGGCTAAAAGGAAAGATATGGAGAATTCAATACGAAGGAATAAAGATGGTTTTCTACAAGTGTGGAAGAATGGGTCATGATGCAGATCAATGTGCACCTACCACTTCGATTGACAACATGGTGGTGGATGAGGGGAACAAGCAGCTTGACAATACTGCCTGTGAAGTGCCTGCCCCCCCTCCAGTGATTAGGCCGGAGGAAAAAGATGAGTATGGTGATTAGATGTTAGTCAAGAAGCCTGGCCGGAGAAAAATTTCCAAACCGGATAAAGCAGGGCAAAACACTAGCAAGGGTATCAATGGAATTTCAATGGAGCCAGGTCAACGCAAAGATACTGCAACCGAGAATAATGGCAAGAGTAGTGGAGGATCTTGGTTTACAGCGCTCAATGTGGAGGTCTCTCAAGAAGATATAGAAAGAGCAAATAATAAGGAAGTTGTTAATAATAATGAGATTAAGAATCAAGATGATGAATTCTCTGAAAAAAGATCTCCAACTCAGCAAGATAAGTATATGGCAACTACCAATCTAGGGGATAATTCTCAAAATCCACTAGAGAATATACAAAATAATTTATCTTTTACTTATGGAAAAGATATTTTTAATCAACAAAAAAATCCTTCGGTTAACAAAAATAAAAACAAAAAAGATTCCCAGAATGCTAGCAAGTCAAAAGAACTTCCTTATTCCCCTTTGACTCCTATTACCAACTTGAAGGTGAATAAACAAGTAACCCATAAGCCTATTAGCGTCGGCAAAGAAAACCAACAACCTAGTATCGCGTCCTACAAAAAACAAATCCCTGAAGAAGCAACCCAAGAAGAACCACAAGAAGTTGTTAATGATGCAGCACCAAAGTCCACCACTAATGCTTCCCCCAATGCCGAATGTGATCAAATTATCAATTCCCCCGGAGAAGACACTATGTGTTGGACAACCAATGGAGATGCCCTATTTGGGCATAGCAAACCCCCTGATACATGTGATGGAGGTGAACATCGAGTCTTGGGAGGAACCAAGCCCGAAACCGATGGAACAAGTATGGACCTTGAAGGTGCCAGTTGAAGTTAACAGGGTTCTAAACCTTATTCGAGGTGCTTATGTAAGTTCCCTAAATAATATTCCTATGTCTATAGAAGATAGCATTCCTAATCTAGCTCCTAATAGCTCTCCCATAACTTGTATGGTATGGAACGTACAAGGGGCGGGTAGTAAAGAATTTATCTATGCTTTAAAAGAAGTAATAAAGGTTAATAAGCCTAATGTTTTCGCTTTGGTTGAAACTCATATGGGGGGACAACAAGCGGAAAAAATAGCCTCAATTCTTGGTTATACAGGGCATACGAGAGTGGATGCTCATGGTTTTAGTGGTGGAATATGGGTATACTGGAAATCAGAACTAGTATCAGTTGAGCCTATAGTTAAACATAGACAATATATTACAATGGATATTAAAAGAGTGGGTGAGACCCCATGGTACTTCACTGCGGTTTATGCTAGTCCGGACCCGACCAAACGTAATGAATTATGGCAAGAATTACAAAATTTTGCTAATCAACATAGTAAACCCTGGCTATTAGCAGGGGATTTTAATGAGACCCGTTTTGCTTGGGAGAGAAGCTCGAGCTGCCATGAGACTACACGTAGAATGGCTCTTTTCAATGAATGGGTTCAAGATATGGAGTTGTTAGAAGTGGAGTTCAACGACCCTTCCCATACGTGGGCTAGGGGGAATTCTATTTCAACTAGAACAAGTGCAAGGCTTGATAGGGCTTTGTGTAATGGTGAATGGAGCCTTAAATTTGCAAATGCTGCCTCAAAGAACCTTCCTGCTGTAAGGTCTGATCACTGCCCGGTTTTGATATCCCCTAATGGTTTTGCTCCTATCTCGAATATAAACAAACCATTTAGATTCCAGGCTGCTTGGATGACACACGAAAAATTTCGAGAATTTATCGAAGAGAAGTGGGATAAGGATGCGCCTTTGATCCCCCATTTACAAAAAATAGCAGCAGAGCTCCAAGACTGGAATCAGTCAGTCTTCCACAACATATTCAGAAAGAAACGCATCCTCCTTGCTCGAATAGCAGGGGTACAGAAATCCCTCTCTGAACAGAAATAAAGAGATATGATAAAACTGGAAGCAAAGCTGAGAAAAGAATTAGATGAGGTTCTTGAGCAGGAGGAACTGTTATGGTACCAAAAATCAAGGGTCGACTGGCTGCGAGAAGGGGATAAAAATACTACCTTTTTCCACCTAAGTACTATCACTCGGAGATGGAGAAATAAGATCAATGCAATCAAGGAAAAACCTGATGATGACTGGATTCATGATAAGGACAAAATTCAAAATACAATTGTGAATTATTTCCAACATTTGTTTAAGGCCGAGGGTGAACTTGAACATGGTATTCTTCCAACTGATATTTTCCCGGAGTTTACTACTAGGGACTGGAATGCTCTATCTCGTCCTTTTACTCGGTGTGAAATAGACAAAGTCATTGAAGAGATGGGGGCACTCAAGGCCCCCGGACCCAATGGTTTTCAAGTACTTTTCTTTCGTAAGCATTGGGATCTTGTTGCAAATAATGTTTATGAAGTTGCACTCAAAGTCTTAGCAGGCAAAGGCCTTCCTGATAATATTAACGACACCTTTATTGTCCTTATTCCTAAGGTGGATGCCCCGGAGCTTCCTTCTCAATTCCGGCCGATTAGTCTATGCAATGTTATTTACAAAATCATTACAAAGTCTATTGTCAACCGAATTAAACCAATGATGCCCCACCTTACTTCCTGTACCCAAACAAGCTTTGTCCCCGGAAGACAAATTACGGACAATATAGTGATTGTCCAAGAGGTTTTGCACACAATGAAGAATAAACAAGGTGCTACTGGTTTAATGGCAATAAAAATAGATTTCGAGAAGGCGTATGACAGGCTGCGTTGGGAGTTTATTCATGATACCCTACTCGAAATCAAATTCCCTCCGGTGATAATTGAAGTAATAATGGAATGCATCACTACCTCGTCAATGAAAGTCTTATGGAACGGGGAACCCACGCAATCTTTCAATCCGGGAAGAGGTATTCGCCAAGGGGATCCCTTGTCTCCATACATTTTTGTTCTTTGTATGGAGAGACTTAACCATGTCATCGAAGACTCAATCATAAAAAATGAATGGCGGACGATCCGAGCAAGCAGAAATGGTCCTAAATTGTCTAATCTGTGCTTCACAGATGATATTATATTATTCGCGGAGGCAAGCATCGATCAAGCTAAAATTATTCAAAAATGCTTGACTAGTTTTTGTGCAGCATCTGGGCAGAAGGTCAGTAATTCCAAGTCTCGTGTCTTCTTTTCTCAAAATATGGATGATGCCTTGAAGTCAGCTGTCTCAAATACCTTGCAAATGGAATTGACAGAAGACTTGGGCATGTATCTAGGCATGCCCACCATTACAAGCAGAGTAACTAGGGACACTTTTTCCTATCTGTGTGAGAAGGTGGATAGGCGTTTGTCGGGTTGGAAGTCGAAGTACTTGTCTTTAGCTGGTCGTATTACCTTGGCCAAATCATCAATCTCGCCCATTAGCTCGTATGCTATGCAATCGGCAAAAATCCCGAGAACCATATGTGATGAACTTGATAAAAAGATGCGTCGTTTTATTTGGGGTGGTAACGAGGAAAAAAGAAAAATTCACCTGATTTCGTGGGAGACTTTGCAACTCTCCAAAGAGAAAGGTGGACTAGGAATGAGGTCTGCGAGGGATGTAAATTCAGCATTCCTCACAAAATTGGGATGGCGTCTTCTCACCGAACCACACTCTTTATGGTCTAGTGTTGTTCGTGCTAAGTATTGTAAGGGGAGGTGTGACCTTGATATGTTTGAATCCAAGGCTAACATGTCAAATGTTTGGCGTGGAATCACTGAAAATGCAAAAATCATAAATAAGGGAGCTCGGGTAGCTGTTGAAAATGGTGTTCGTACTCTTTTTTGGGATCACACTTGGGCAACCTCGAGGCCTCTTCGTGATCTTGTGATAAATACAATCCCTCAAGAGATAGATGGGGCAACGGTTGAAGAGATGTGGGACTCTATCAATGGATGGAAAGGAGATTCTAGCTCATCAAGTACGAGATGACCCCTCGATGGGTGACCTTTTGTATTGGGGGGGAAGCTTAAAAGGCAGATTTACAATTAAATCTGCTATAAAAATAATTCGTGGAGATGATGATGCCCCTGCTGATGGTAGCTGGGAGTTGGTGTGGAACCTTCGTGTGCTACAAAGAGTAAAGGTGCTCTTGTGGCTCATTTTACATGACAGGCTAATGCACAATGTCAATCGATTCAAAAGAGACTTGACAAATGACCCTAAGTGCAAAGTGTGCCCGGAACATGATGAGACCATGGCTCATGTGCTTCGTGACTGTAGAGCAGCAAGGGAAATTTGGAAGCAGGTTGGTGGCCCTGCGAATGCTGCTAACTTCAGATCAGGGGGACTTAAGGGATGAATTATTCATAATATAAAAGTGCAGGAAAGAAATGAAATGTCCCCCGAAATTTGGCCATCATACTTTGCACTAGCTATATGGTGGATTTGGAAGTGGAGGTGCAATGTAGCTTTTGATAAAGGGGATGAGAATCCGATTGACATAAGAACTTTCCTATTGGCAAGATTTGAAGAAACTTGGAGAGTTCTAGGTGATGGGGAGCAGAATCCAAATGCAACTTCTGGTCAGAGGGTTGAGGCTTTGATTCGATGGTTAGCTCCACCTGTGGGTTGGCTGGTGCTTAATACAGATGGAGCAGCGAAGGGGGCCCCTGGGCCAGCTGGAGGAGGTGGGCTTATCAGGGATTGCACAGGGAAGTTAGCCTATGCCTTCTCTCTAAGACTGGGTAATTGCAATGCTTTCATGGCTGAGGTTAAAGCTTTAGAGTATGGGCTAGAGTTGGCAGCTAGAATGGAGCCAAGATATATACAAATTCAACTTGATAGCCAAGCGTTAGTGCAAACCCTGAAAAACGAAAATCAGTATATAGGCGAAGCTGTTCATAGCATTGCAAAATGCAGAAGATCCTAGAAGATAACAACTGGCATTTTGAAGTTCATCATATATACCGTGAAGCTAATAGAGCAGCCGATTGGTTAGCCAACCAAGGAGTTTTGCAGAACAACCGCATCGAGTTGATTCAAGTCCCCCCTTTAGCTTTAGGGAGAATTTTACATGATGATGTCGTAGGTGTGGCTTTGTCACGTTTTGTTCCCCCTTAATTTCTGTTTTTTTTTTTGTTTCTTTTTTCCGGGGCTTTGCCCCTCGTATGCACCAAAAAAAAAATTATAAAAATAGGAATAGAATAAAAAGTAAAAAAAATTAAATAAAATAAAAAGGTCAAGATTCTAAAAAGCTTCCAAGAAGTACTTTCCCCACGTCCAATTATTTTCTACTTTTTATATACTTCGTCTCTGTTTAATATTTATGTGCATCTAACCTACATGGCATGGATAATTTTTTGTTAATATTTTTTTTTTTATGGAACATGACATGAATTAATTTTAGTCCATATAACTCTTCAAGAGCTTAACTAGTCATCGTAAATTGTTAAAATTATTGTTTCTGAAAAATTGAGGAATACATTTTAAATATAGAAAAATTGATTCTAATAACTTCACTTTTGGCCGGTTCGCTATTAATAATCCCACCGGTATAGGGGACCTTATTCTATTGGTCCCTTGTGATCAGTAACATGTACTTTAGGTAAATTATTATTAAATTATTTTTTAAAATTTCAGTGACACGTGTTACTACATAATTGGTCAAAAAGAAAAATCTTTTAAAATTTTTTGATCAAAATAATTAAAAAAAAAAAAGAACCAGCCAACTCCCAATGACTACCCTAACCCCCAACCTCCGGTAGCCTATCCTCCCCATCCCCACCGCCGTAACTCGCATCCCCACCGTCGGAACCCCTCTACTCTACCCACCCCCACGCAACAAAACCCAGACCTTAATTTCAATGACTTGAGAAAAAAAAAAGTTAAAAAAAAAAGTAAAAATCTTCAAGAGAAGAAGGGATGGCTTGGGTAGGAGTTTTTACGGTTAGAAGGGCTTCTCGTAGGTAATGCATTGGCAAGCGTGAAATCCCTTATGATGCAATAAAAAAAGAACGGAGAAAGTATGAAATTTATACTTCACATAATTTAAAATTCTTTAAAATCATACATAACAATTATGTCGTGGTGTAAATTTACAAATCTTTTACGTAGTATGTAACAAAAGCTAAGCATGTATGCTCATTTGGTAACCTTGTAATCTAATTACTTTTTGTACCTGTTTTGACTTGTTCACTAACCAATTTTTTTTTCTTGGTGATGCAATTTTACAATGCAACGGTGCAATTCTAAAACAGATCCAAATGGTAATTTTAACTTAGATTACATTTTATGTGTTAACCCTTAATTTTTAAATAATTATTTATTGATTATTATCATTGGAACAGGACCTATGTATTACAAGGGTTTGTACCATCTATTTTACCAGTACAATCCGTGGGGATCTACATGGGGCAACATTGTTTGGGCTCACTCAGTGTCAAGGGACTTAATCAACTGGGAAGCCCTTGAACCCGCATTGCACGAGTCAAAGCCCTTTGACATAAACGGGGTATGGTCCGGATCAGCTACGATCCTACCCGGTAATCGTCCTGTTATACTCTATACGGGTCTTACCGCTACTAGTGTACAAGTCCAAAATGTTGCAATTCCAGCCAATTTATCCGACCCATATCTTCGAAAATGGGTCAAATCCAATTACAACCCGATCATTACCCCAACCTCGGACGTAAACACGTCGTTATTTCGGGACCTGACCACTGCATGGTGGTCCCAAGGGTATTGGCACATTGTGGTGGGTAGTAGGAGGAAGCATAGGGGGATGGCCTATTTGTATAAGAGTAGAGATTTTAAAAAATGGACCAAGGCTAAACACCCATTACATTCGGCCCCAAATACGGGTATGTGGGAATGTCCTGATTTTTTTCCGGTTTCGACCCGAGGTAAAAATGGGTTGGACACTTCAACAACGGGCTCAAATGTGAAACATGTGCTTAAGGTTAGTCTTGATG